AAGGGTGGGGGCACTCTGAGGGTGGGGTGCTCTAAGGGTGGGGGCACTCTGAGGGTTGGGGCGCTCTGAGGGTGGGGGCACACAGAGGGTGGGGGCTGATGGACCTACAGTTACACCAACACTTTCAATAGGGATGTTTTCCCTTCCAGCTCCATCAGCGATCATCTTCCTTCCAAAGCAAAATCAAATTCAGAAATTTTTCCCACATATTGCTGAAAGTCAAAGTCTATGTATTGAAATTAGTTTGATCGATACTGATACCAGTATGGGGGGGGCCCCGATCCAGTACTAAAATGGTGTTATCGGTATCAGTGATTGCCAACCAATAGGGCATTGATACCATTCTGAGAGGCAGAGGTTTATATCAACTGTCCCCCATTCCAGGTCGGCAATAAAAAGTTCTACTGGATCCAGTTTGTTTTAGTCTGTTTCCTGCTTCACAAATGAAGGCAGCAGCTTTATAATTGAAATGATTGGTGGGGACATCTGTCCACATCCGTCCTTCAGAAAGTTATGCTGTTCTATCAGCCCAGAGATGCAGGGAGGATCTAGAGCATGCAGGGCTCTAAAAGTAACAACAAGGGGTTTAAATTGGGTTCTATACTGGACTGGTAACCAGTGCAGAGCTGCTAATGGAGGTGTAATGGGTTCCATTTTCTTCATGTGAGTTAAAAGCCTGGCAGCAGTTCTGGACAACCTGGACAACCTGGAGACGGTAAACAAACAGGTAAACAGACATTTGCAATAGTCTAACCATGAGGAGCTCAAAGCATCAATAATTATTCCCAAATCACCCTTCGACAGGAATGCTCTGAGTTTGGAAATATTCCTTAGTTGGAAGTAAAAGCTGCTAAATAAATGTTTAGAGTGTTTCTCCAAAGACGTTGCTGAATTGAACACCTCAGCTCCTGAGGCTGAACAGCAATAAGTTGCTTTATTGAAGGGATTTTACAGTTTTAGCTGCGATAATTAGTGTTTCAGTTTTTCTCAGAGTTCAGAAGAAGGAAATTGTGAAGACAATGTATTAACCCTTTATAGGGCGTTCAGGGAAAGACTTTAAACATCTAAATTTCAAGTAAAGCGTACACTGCAAAAAAACCTGAAATCTAAGTAAGTCATTTTTTTCTTGAACTGAGCAGGTAAGTGAGATACTTTGCAAATAGAATAAGAAAATTTACATCTAAAATAAAGAAAAAAATGCAGTCTCCTATTTAAAGTGCATAATATCAAATAATCTGATTTTAAAGATAAAAATGCTCCTTCAACTTAGAGATTTTCTTATTTACCTACTCACATTAAGGGTAAATACACTTATTTTAAGAGATTTTCACAAATTTCTTGATCATTTTTGTAGTGTGTTATTGGAACAAGACCTTATTATCTTTGTAACGTTAAAAAAAGATGTATATTTTGATGGCATAAATGAATGTCAATGTAACAACAAGAAACGCCAACTTGCCCGTATATATTAAGAAAAATAACAAAAGTGCTTCTAGAAGAAATTAATGAAAAACACTGAGAGTGAAAGAAATGGAACTCCATTTGTAAGGGGTATGCAAGTGATCAAAAATGGTAACTTGCCCTATAAAGGGTTAAATCAGCGTCTTTGACAGAGCAATATAGTTGAATATCGTCCGCATGTCACTGAACTGACGGATTATCTGACCGAGTGGAAGTTTGAACAGAAGAAGAAGTTGAAGAGGAGGAAGTCTGCAGATGCTGCTCCCCTCAGAGAAAACAGGATCGTTCTTCTAGAATCGACGGTTAAACATTATCCTCTGAAAAACGTCTGCTTTCTTAAACTCCATCAAACTGGTAGATCAGTGGGTCTAAACAGTAACCAGTAGTTTTCTGAAGCTGATTTAGGAGTGAAATAAAAAAACTCCTACAGAGCAGATTCAACATATTCAGGTTTATCAGCGCAGAGTCACTTAGTCTGGATCAGATGAAGGGAGAAAAACAGTTTACCACAAAATAACAGCCCTTCAGCCCAGCAGGGGGGGCTATTCCAGGTCCATTTTATGCCGCTTCATATTACTGAGAACATTTGCAGGTTGGTTTGTTCCAAAAATGGTCTGTTAAAATGTGGACAAAGATGAGAGCAATGGATAAAATGATCCAATCTGCCCTGATGGATCCAACATCAGACGTTCTGGTTAACATGGCGGGGAATCAACACCATATCACCCACAGATGATCAGAGCAGATGGAGCAGGACGTCTGCTGGAGTTTTAAGACTTTTGCTTTTAATGATCTTTCCTGAAATGTTAAGTTTGGAAAAGTGAAATCTGTTTAGGCCGGCTTCTAGAGACACACTGCAAAAAATGTAAACCTTAATAAGTCATTTTTTCTTGGATTGAGGAGGTAAGTGAGACACTTTGCCAATGGAACAAAACAATTTTGATTTAAATTAAGAAAAAACAATTGCATTGTCTTATTTCAAGTGCATTTTATCTAATTATCTTATTTTAAGAGAAAAAATACTTATTCCATTGGCAAATCCTCTGACTCACCTACTCAAATTAAGGGTAATTACACTTAATTTAAGTAATCTTTACTTATTTCTAGATTGTTTTTGCAGTGTGACAGAAAAGATGGAGGTAATATAATGTGAGAAACAAAAACTACCTAAATATTGTTGATGATCAGAAAAATTTAGATCCTTTACTTGGAAAAAGAAACTTAATCAGGAAAGAAAATCAGTGTTAGAGTTTCCTCCGTGTCAGAGAAGTGAAGCATGATGGGAGCAGACGTCATACCTGCAAAGGCCACGGTTCCCGTCGGATCGGCGCGTAGTCTGGACCTCAGCGTCTGTCGCTGAGCCTCTGTGGGCTTCAGACCGATCAGGTCCAGAGCCTGCCACACAAACACACACAGACGGATCAATAGAGGCAGCGGGGGGGTGGGGGGTCCGAGTCATCGACCAGGAGCCGCACTGATGCGTTTCTCCTCACGTGTTCAGAGGTCACAGCCTGAACAGTTCTAGTCCATTCCGTTGGATTTAATCCCAGTTTGCTCTGGATTCATGAAGCGGTTAGCAGTGAATGCTGTTAAAGTCACGTTCACACCCAGATTTCAGTCATTTGCACTTTTTTATCACGTTTTCATCATTAAATGTTTTTCTCCTCGTCCAAAAAACTGCTGCATGTTTTTAGAGCTTTAATCAACCTGCTGCACGTTTAGCTAATCCTGACACTGATGATGCTGAAGGATGAAGATTAGGAGGGAAAAAGTCTCCTTCTGCCTCCTGAAGCAGCGATTCTCAGTTGGGGGTACTCCACAGACGCATGGCCCAACAGAGAAGAGCGCCCTCCTCTGGACAAGACTCTGCCGTCCATCTACACCTGATGGACAAAGGACATTCTTTGGAGGACTTAGAATGTTCACATTTTGGACAAAGAAGTCCAACCTTAAACAGACGGACAGCTTTACAGGAGAACAGAAGACCTCACCTGTTCATCCAGACCAACTATCCCCTCTAACGACCCCCCTTTCAGAGACATAGACAGGTATGGGGCATTGCAGGCTAACAAAGAAGCCAAACGACCCCCATTCCAAAGGGGGGGACCCGTTCATCCGTTTCTATTTGCATGTTTTCTAAACTAAAACCAGGCTTTGTTGGGCTGCTGGATAAAACCTGGAACTAAACGCTATTTCTGACATTTTGGATTGAAAAATCTTCCTGGATGGAAGAGAAACGTCTTCAAACCTGGAAACAAAGTCCAGAGGATTGATTTTAACTTTTTTTTTACCAAGCAGAGGAACAGACTGGATGTAGAGAACAGTCTGGGATCAGCTGCTTTTCCCACTGAGCTACGATGAAAAGTTAAAACAAATTAAATGTGATTATAATGGAGTCACTCAGAGGAGCTCCAGTTTTATAAATACAGGTTTACATTGTAATTTTATTTTGAATTTACTTTATTTTGATTCCTCACTAACTTGCAAGCAACATACTAAAGCGGAGGTCTTCAACAGGGGGTCCGCGACCCCTAGGGGGTCCTCAGAGGAACTGCATGGGGGTCGCAAAAGTTTTGGTTGATTAGACTTTTTTTTATATTCCCCCCTGGAATTTTTTTTTCATTAATTGAAATGTCTTTAAATAGACATTAACATGAATTCAACAGACTGTAATAAACAGATAAATGGAGGCAGAAGATGTCTTTCAGTCATCAATGCTCACAGGAGCTCTTTCAAGCTGGGCACCGTTTCATTCACAACACCTGTCCCATCAACCAGGAATCAGAAATACTTTAATAATCCCAGGGAGGGATTACTTTAGTTACATTACACTATATGAAATAGACTGACTATAGGACCAGTTTGATATTACACAATTTCATGCAATATATATAAATAGGGGTCCTCGCTCGATCTGGCCATCAATTTGGGGGTCCTTGGCCTGGAAAAATTTTGAGGACCCCTGTACTAAAGCATAGAATGCCAATGAGATAAATTCTTAAATTAATAGATGAAGTAAAATACATTTTTATTTTGTAACCAGTTATTTTACATTTCACTTCTGGTGGTGGTGGTCTGGGTCTCTGACCAATGAGAATGTTTCTTTGGATCAAACTTTTTATTTAAATCGTTTCCCAGGAGATAAAGTTTAGATTAAACGTTTGAACTGAGCTGCGTTCACCAGCTCTGCCTGCTGAGACTGTAAATCAGTCGGGACTCTTTGAGTCCAGAGGTTTCTGTGATCAGGTCAGTCTGGAAGCAGCTGGCAGTGAGGAAGAGGAAGAGCGACTGTTAGGTTTATTCAATGATGATTATAAAATTAATGTGTGCTTATAAAACATTTGATGCTCCACTCCTGCCTCATGATCCAGTCAGGAGACCATCCTGCCTCGTCATTCTGTCTTTATGAACTGATCAGTTGTTCTGTCAGAACAATACTCTGTTTGTAACCATGCGTCATGTTCTGTTAATAAAAGCTCTGCAGAGGAGGTCCAGTGGGAGACAGATTGTTTGAGTCTGGGGTTCAACTGTCTCTCCTTTCTGCAGGAATTGTATCCATAATTCTTCTTTTGCAAACCTACATTTATGAACCCGACAGCGACCCCCCCACTGACCTGCTCCAGTCTCTCCAGTTTGAAGCGGCAGCTGGAACTGAGCGAACATTTCCTCTGAGGAGGCTGACTGCTCCCACAATCTGAAACACAGGTTTAAATCTCTGTTACGCTCAAACTTTCATTCTTTTTGCACTTTTATTGGGAGTTCAAATCAGATTTCAAATCCAGCAGTAAAATATTCTTATTCCACTGATTCCTCACGTCGCTCTGAAAAGCTGTTAATATGTTTGTTCTGCTGAGCTTTAATTACTGCTGCAACATAAATTACATCCCATCCAAAAGTATGATCATCAGTGACTCACAGGGTATCTTAAAGGAGAAGGAAAACTAAAATAAAGTACATGAAATCATAAAATGCGTATTTTCCAGCATAGTGAGCTGGTTTTACTGGGAGCGTCTTCGGTCGTGACGTCAATGTTTGAACATATGGAGGGAGACCTCAGGATTCCTCTCACACAGAGACTGGATGGAGCTTCACGCCTCTGAGGCCGATCATCAGCCCAGACCTCCCGCCCGCATCACTTCCTCCCTCCCCATTCAACCATCTGCTTTGCCGCGGCTGTAAATTCTCAGTTTGAAGGCGCTCAGCTGTCGATGGTTGGTGTGATGAAGAGACACGCGTCACTCAGCGAATCTCAGCGTTCGGCGAGAGAAAAGACGAATGGAGCTGAGGAGGAAGTCGCTTCTGCAGGTTTTTATTCATTTCTGCAGCTTTTTGGTTCCTAAGCAACAAAAAAAGCTGAAAAGATGCTTTTAGCTTTTATTTCAGAGGCTTTATAACCTTTTTGAAGAAGCTCCTCCCCCTCTGCTGCCACAGATTTACAGAGTTGTCAATATGTGTGGAAGAAAAACAGGGGAGATACATTTGTTAAAATTCATATCTTTATGTTTAAGTCTAAATTTTACTTAATTTCATGAGGTGGTGAGGTAACCTAGGTAACCTGGATGGGAACCTACAGGATTATTCATCTTTCAAAGTTTAGTAGATTTTCACTCTAAGCTAGAAATGAAAACTTTTAATTTGAAATTTCTCCGATTGTTACTTCCTGTTCTGCTGCTGCCTATAACCACTGATCTCTATTTACTCTATTGCTGATTGGCCGAAAAGAGTGAAGCCACCGTCCGCCATATTGGTACTCCCCACTCCTACGGAGACAGGCAGTCAAAATCAGGGGTGGAGCTAGATGGGGGGCCAGGGGTGGCCATGGCCACCCTTAGCAAATCATTGGCCACCCCTACTGTACCATTTTTTCCCTATAATACAGACAGTGGCAGCCGTAATACTCTCATTAATCAAAACATTTTAATTGTTCATACATTAACTACATTACTTGACAACAAAAACACTGTGGTTAATTATGCACATTAATATGCTAACATTAAAGGTGATAAGTACAGAATTCATGCTCTTTTCAGAACTAGATTTTGTTATATGGGGTAAAGAGAAAAGTCATCTAGGAGTCTTCAGTTAATCATAGATAAATAACTATTTTAATAAAAACTTGAATATGTAATATTTTTAAATGTAAATAAACATATTTATGTTTATACGTAAATAAAATTTTTTTGTAAATATTAGTACTTTTAATATCAATTTTAAGCAATGGAAAAGATGTTCGCCCCAGAAATCAAACTTAAAAGAACTTTATCCACTATGACTTATAACTAAGAAGCAAGGATGTTTAAATATATGTGTCTATTTGTTAGCAAAGGTTGGAGGAACATATAGTTTGTCTTGATTTGAATTTATCCTTCATTTTCCTGTTGGATCAGTATAGATTGACTCTGAGGTTCTGGTGCCGATCTGCTGTCGGCCCCCCCCCCCTCAGTGTACATTGGTTACTGCCTGGCCACCCTTATCAAAATGTTCTGGCTACGCCTCTGGTCAAAATGCCTCCTGTGCAGCATTTAGCTGCTAAAACCAGCAGTTTTCTGTCTGCAGGAACGCGTTCCACTGGTAATTTCCCAGTCAGTGGATGAACTAAGCAATAAATCCATCTATAGCCGATGGATCCTATAGTTTAGTCTGCAGACTAACATTAGTCTGGCTATCTCAGACTGACTGGAAGACATTGACTGAGTTAGACACTGACATTGGGTCTAACGTTAGAAAATGGAAAATAGAGGAAATAGAAATTAATTCACTGTGAAATGTTAATGTAGGAATTCTTCATTCAGTGGATGATGATGTCGGTTTTTCAGCGTTTGTTGTTTTTCTCATTTGAAAAAGTCATGAGCTGAAATATATTGCATGTTAGATTGCAGGGGTTGACGTTAAGCATTCTTACTACTTGCCCTTTGGGCAAGTGACTTTCACATTTCATTTGCCCAGAAACAATTTTTACTTGCCCA